AAAGATTTTGTTTATTTATTTTTAGAGAGAGGGGAAGAGAGGGAGAGAGAGAGGGAGAGAAACATCAGTGTGTGGTTGCCTTTCACATACCCCCAACGAGGGATCTGGCCTGCAACCCAGGCATGTGCCCCGGCTGGGAATTGAACTGGCAACCCTGTGGTTCACAGATCAGCACTCAATCCACTGCACCACATACACCAGGGCGGGGTGTTCCTATTTTTTTACGACATACTTCTTTGCTATTGGTTGAGAGAATAAGAACATAAGAATCATTATTTATTTCTCTTTTTATCCTCACCTAAGAACATCTTTTCATTGCTTTTAGAGAGGGGAAGGGAGAAAAAGAGAAAAACATTGACTCAAAGAGAGAAGCATCAATTGATTGCCCACCTCACACACCTGGACTGGGGATTGGGGATCAAACCCACAACCCAGGCATGTGCCCTGACCGGGAATTGAACCCTCAACCTTTCTGTTATGGAGCCACGCCAACCAGAGCAGAACCAATATTTATTCCTAAGCACTTTGACTTTATCTATCTCCATCTCTAGATTTATTTGGGCGTGGAAGGGCTGACAGCCTCCTAAACTATCTCTAACCCCTTTCAACATGAAATGTTTAACCTGGGGTTGTTCGATTTTGTGAAGGGGCCAACTTGGGGTTGGCAAGTGATTTAGTCTCTGAGACAAAATTGCTTTAGCACTCAAATGTAAAGCTGGGAAGAGCACTGTAAATATAGACACATACCTTCCAAAAACAAGTAAATTATCTCTGGCAATTTCTTAAACTTTCTGTGCTCCCTCTTATGTCATTAGAGCTCTTTACTTGCAGGCAATCGAACCAGACTCTGGCTGACTCTGGGGAGGGAATGGAATTTATGGAAGGATATAGGGGAGAAGTGCACACGATCAACAGGGCAGCTGGGGACCCCGACTGAGAAGACACCAAAGGCATTTCCTGGGGTCCAGGCAGCAAAACCACTGGCCAGCACCCCATAGGCACAGCTGCTGCAGGAAGACTCTGCTCAGGTGTCAAGCTCTAGGATGTGAGCATCTCCATGTTCTAGCCTGAGTTATGAACTCCAATCCTCTTTACCTAAAAAGGTGATAAGGTGCCCTGACTAATAGCCATCAAGTCTGTATCCAATGAAGGAGAAGCAACTCAAATTGCTGTGACCAGAAGAAATTGGAATGGATGCCACCAGTCTCCAAAGCAACAAAGATCTGCTATGTGCCATTAATAGCAAACACACAGTCCTTTAAACACCATAAGAAGTACAGACCGAAGTTTTAGAATCCTAAAGACAAATGAACTTCAATTAGAGTACAGTTCTGAGTGAATCTCGGTCCTTACTAAGGATACATGAGAATGTCAAAGAAGAGGTAAAGTTAGTGAACATGTGGTAGATCAGGACCTTACTTACGCATATACTGAGTGAAAAGTATAAAAAAAGAAATTGACAATGCAAACACTAGCCATAAAAGAGCTGGGTAGTTATATTAATATCAGACAAAATGGACTTTAAGACAAGACATACTACTAGAGACAGAGAGAGACATTTTATGATAAAAGGGTCAACATATCAGGAAGATATATACAACAATAAATGTCCAGCAGTAGGTTTACAGTGAGTATGCAAAACACAGAGTTTATTCTTATCATACTGCTTTCTACATGAACTGTAAACTTATTTTTGCTCCATGCTGTTTATGTGCGTAACAACAGAGCTCCCAGAAATAAGACAATTCAACAAAGAGAGCTGGAGATTTTGATAACTGATAGAACAAGAGTCTTAATAAATTCAAGGAGATTAAAAATATACAAAGTATATTCTCTGCCCACATGCAATTAAATTAGAGATCTAAAACCACAACAGAAATAAACTTGGTGAATCCCCCAAGCATTGGAAACTAAACAATAGATTTCTAAATAACACATGAGCCAAAAATGAAACCAAAAGGGAAGTTTTGGAATATCTTCAACTGTCTGAAAACAAAAACACAACATACCAAAATTCGTGGGAAGCAGCTAAAGCAGTGCTTAGAGTATACTTGATAGCTTTAAGCATCGTGATCAGAAAAAAGATCTCGAACCAATTACCTAAACTTCTACCTTAAGAAACTAAAATAAGAAAAGCAAGCTTAATCAAAGCAAGCAGGAAAAAAGGAAATAATACAGAGTTGAAATCAACAGAGTAGAAAACAGAAAAGCCATAGAAAAAATTAATAAAACCAAGAGTTGGCCTTTGTAATGACAAAAACTATTAGTCTAATGAATAATATTGATTATTCATTAAAATAGCAATTCTCCTCAAACTGATCTATATATTCAAAGCAATTTCTGTCACAATCTCAGCATGTTTTTCTATGGAAATTGACAAACTGATCTTAAAATTTACATGAAAGTGTGAAGGACCTAGAATAGCCAAAACAATTTTGAAAAGAAGAACAAAGTTGAAGGACCTAAACTACCTGATTTCAAAATGTACTCTAAAGTTAGAAATTAAGGCAAAGTGCTATCAGCTCAGGAAAACCATACAGATCAATGGAATCCAGATTTAACCCCTACATTTTATGGTCACTTGACTTTCAACAAAGAAACAAATGGGAAAATGATAGATTTTCCTTGGCCACCCATATGGAAAAAAATTAACTTAGACCTTTTACCTTACTTCGTATGTAAAAATGGACTCAAACTGTATCATGGAATGTAAAGAACTAAAACTAAAACATGAGAAGAAAATAGGGGAATATCTTTGCAGCCCTAGGTTATGCAAATGGTTCTTAAGACACAAGACTAAAAGTATAAACTATAAAAGAAAAAAGCCAATAAGTTGGACATCATTAAAATTTTTAAATTTTGCACTTCAAAAGACACAATTAGGAAAATAAAAATATAAGTCACAGAATAGGAGAAATATTTGCAAGGCATATATCTGATAAGGGACTTATATCTAGACTATCTATGAAACTTTTACAACTGAATAATAAGACAAATAACCCAACTTACAAATGGATTCTAACACATGCTACAACCTGGATGAACCTTGAACACACGCTAAGTGAAATAAACCAGACACAACAGGACAATACTGTATAATTCCACTTATATGACATACCTCGAATAAGCACATTCACAGAGCCAGAGAATGGGATAGAGGTTACCTGGGGCTGTGGGGAGTGTGGAAGTGCAGGAAGTTATTGTTTAACTGGTACAGAGTTTCTGTTTGGGATGATCAGAATGTTTGGGAAATGGATAGTGGTGATGGGAATGTAATTGACGTCATTCCATTGTATACTTTAAAATGGCAACAATGGTAAATATCGTACCACAATAAAAAATTTATTTTAAAAAAATAGGCAGCAGATTTGAGTAGACATCTCACCAGATAAGACACACACATGATCAGTAAGCACATGAAGAGGTGCTGAAGATTATTAGTCACTGGGAAAGTTCAAGTTAAAACCACACTAAAATGCCACTGCACAGGCACTAGGATGATGATAATTAAAAAGACAGATAGTACCAAGTGTCGATGAGGTGTGGAAAAACTGGAAACCTCGTACTTTACTGACGAATTGCAAAATATTATAGCCACCTTGCCAAATTGTTTTGTTGTGTTTTAAAAAGTTAAACATAAGCTTACTGTGAGACCTGGCAATTCTATTCCTAGTAATTTACCCAAGAGAAATGAAAACACGTGCCCACACAGAGACTTGCACACCAGAGTTCAGGGCAGGTTCATTCATAACAGCTGAAAGCTGGAAACAGTGCGAATGCCCATGAAGGAAGGAAGGGACAAACAGAATGTGGTATATCCATACGATAGGATACCACTCAGTTATAGAAAGAACATTCTGGAACATGCTGAATCTCAAAAAGATTATGCCAAGTGAAAGAAGCCAGATGCAGAAGATTTCATAAGATTTCACTTACATGAAATTTCCAGAAAAGACAAACTTATAGAGACAGAAAGCAGATTGGTGGTTGTTTGGGGTTGGGATGGAAGTGGGAATTGATAGGCTTATATAAATTTGGGGTTGTGATAGAAATGTTCAAAAACTAAATGGCATTGATGGACATAAAATTATAAAATTTACTAAAAGTCACTGAGTTGTATATATACTTACAATGGGTGAATTTTTGTGGCTTTTAAATTATACCTCAATAAGGCTATTAAATATGTATGTTTATGCATATATCCTCGTACATTCATGCACACGTACCTGACACCAAAAAATGAGGTTCGATTTATGAGGCATAATTAAGACACAGTCTCTGTGACTTGAAACAAAGGTTTTCCTTAATCTAGTCAATACACTTTTTATCCATATATTTAAAAATGTCATGTGAAGGATATTAACATTGTTCATTGATGAAAAGCCCACACCCTAAATGATTTTGAGGTTTCTGAACTAAATTGGGTAATCCCTGTGATTGCTCAATAAATAGCAATAAATTTACAAATTCTAAACTTAGACAATATTTGCCTTTTACTGAGCTCATTGCAGAGAAAAAGAAAATAAGAGAAGTCGGAAAAGCAATTTAAATCTCTAGGTTGTTTGAGTGATAAACTATGTAATCATCATGACCTGGAAACATTTAATCAGAAGAGCAAAGGCTGACCTAGTAATGGATTTAATAGCCATCTTCAACAATATGAAGGGTTCTTGCAGGGAAACAATTTGACTAGTGCTTCTCTCTCCGCTGAGAGCCAAACAAAACAAAGTGATTTAATAATCAGCCAGGCAAATTTAGATTAAACAGAAATAACGCTGACGGTACATGCTATCAAGTACTGGAATAAATTTAAGCAGGATGTTTGTTCAAGCTGTTTCCTTGGCGATCATTAAGAATAGTCAAGACAGACAGCTTCGGTCAGGAGGCAACACTGCCTGGGAGTTGGCAGTGGGACCGGGCGACCTCCTGCCCGGGAACTAGTGTGTGGGAAGGAGCCCAGCGCACCAGACTCATGCACCAGACTCACGCACCTTACTTACCTCGATATCCCGATTAAGTTGCTTCACTATGGCAGTTATGTTTCTGATGTGCTCCTCCAAGAAAAGCCTGGCCAAGCGGTCACCTCCCCCTTTGTTTTGCATTTTCTGCAAACTGTTGACGATGTCATCTTTAATTCGGAAGGCGTGCTCCACGAGGGCTGCTGTCGTCTTCTCGTGGCAGAGGATCCTGTCTTCCAGCTGCTCCATAAGGCTTACAGAGGAGTAGGGCGCCATGGTCAGGGACTGGCTGTGTCGGGGCATGGTTCGAACTCGCCTGCAGGAAGGAGCCATGTCACCAGGCTTGTTAATCGGGGGAAAGGTCATGTTTAAAGCTAGATTCAAGACTTCCCAGAGAAGAAAATGCAAGTTATCTATCCCAACTAAATAAAGTTTCAGGCGGGTTTCTACCCCAAAGAATTTTCTTCATGAGCCAGGCAGCATCTTTAAACGATTGTATCCAGAGAGTAAAGTGTGCTGGTAGCAGGTTTCATGACCTTAAAAAGCAAGAGGTGCCCTGGCTGGTGTGGCTCAATGTATTGAGTATGGGCCTGTGAACCAAAGGGTTGCCAGTTCGATTTCCAGTCAGGACACGTGCCTGGGTTGCAGGCCAGGCCCCCAGTGGGGGGTGGGCAAGAGGCAACCACACATTGATGTTTTTCTCCCTCTCTTTCTCCCTCCCTTCCCCTCTCTCTGGAAATAAATAAATAAATAAATAAATAAATAAATAAATAAATAAATAAAATCTTTTAAAAAAGCAAGAGGCTGGTGGAGTTGGGCACACTCAGCAGTCTTCCCAATATAAGCTGTGTTATCAGGATCAACCTTAGGAACAAAATCTCCTGACATTCCCTCCCCCTTCCTCCCCCTGAAGCAAGGTTACAAACCCAAATATCTATGAGGGTCAGGCAGGTGACACAAATGAGTGAACCACATCATGTATGAGGCAAGAGGGAGTGGTGGGGACTTTGGAGAACTGGAAAGGGCATCCCTCAACTACAAGGAGCCAGAATTCTGCTCCACCCATGACTGACCATCTGGGAATGCCAGGTCCATTTTTCCAGACCATCTGCTATTTCAAGGAGAGGCAGCCAATCCAGACTTCTACGTGAAATCACCTGATTTTTTTTAGCATTAACAATTCATTTGAAAAGTATTTAAGATGATGCAGATCAAACAATGTACTTCCATGAGCCAATATTGGCCTATGGACACCCAACTTGCAACTTCTGATTTAAAAGAATTAGCAGGGGCATCAGCTCCTGAAGTCTCTGGAATTATATTTCACTGCTGACCAAAAGAACACCTGTACTATAGGGCTACTGTGAAATCCTCACCACTAATGGTCACAGAGCAGTCCACAGTATGCTACAAACTGAAAGCTGGAAAGGACACATAGCAATACTGCCCTTGCCCATGAATAAAATCACTCTTGGATAATGCAACAGCAGTAAGGCTTCATTTATAATGACCATCACACCCACTAGCAGCCCTCATGGGATTGGTGAAAAGAAAAAGTATACCTTAGATGCATATTTTCCATATATTATACCTTTCCTTGGTGACAAGAGAAGGAAATACAGTGCTCCGTCGGGCCATTTTTCCTTTTAATAATTCACATCTGTTAAAAAAATAAGTGTTATATTATTTAACAGTTTATAACCAGAACTTAAATGATCCCTAAAGCATATTACTAGGTTACTAAGTGAATCACAAATTATGCTGGCACACTGATCAGTTATATTATTAAAGACTTTATGTCTTATATATGAAAGAAACAGAAAATGTTTCCAAATAAGGAGAGAAGAATTAAGCAAAATTAAATTGCTCCCGAGATGAATGTTGCCCAGCCTTGTGAGACACAGACCGACAAGGACTGTTAAAAGTAGGCTCCTGAGGTCTCCCTGCCCCATATCTGTGTCAAGCTTCAGAAACTGCTTTTACAGAAACATGACAGTTTTCTTTAACAGGCTTATTTGATCTTTTACATCTCTGTAGAAATTACAGAAAACTTCCTTAGTAAATAGATCACAGCAAATTTAGTAAATTATACAGCAAAATAAAAGCACTTCTTTCTAAATTAATCTTAAATAAAATACAGTATAGCCCTGGCTGGTGTGGCTCAGTGTACTGAGCACTGGTCTGTGAACCAAAGGCTCGCTGGTTCGATTCTCAGTCAGGGCACATGCCTGGGTTGCAGGCCAAGTCCCCAGCAGGGGGCGCATGAGAGGCAACCACACATTGATGTTTCCTTCTCTTTCTCCCTCCCTAACTACTCTGTCTAAAAATAAATAAATAAAATCTTAAAAAACAATATATAGTCAGTAGGCTCTAATTTGAGGGAATCTGTCTATTCAATAAGAGAATGAGAATAATATTCTTCATTAAACTTTATTATAAGATATAATCATTCATATTGCATCTTACATATAAGGAACATTTACTTGATCATGCATTAGAAATCTGAACAAAACTGGAGGGAGTTAAAAATATTTCATTACTTAGGTTCCTCAATACTGTTGTTAATTGCCTTAAAACAATGAATGCCTAGTAACTCTGATCTAATTCAGTAATTAGTTCTCATTTAGACTCTGGATTCAGAAAGCATTTCTGATTGAAACAATTGTTTTGGCATCATCTCTCCAGTGTGTTATTTTTAGTTTTGCAATGTGAACATTTCACTTTCCTAGACACAGAACTTTAAATTTAAACAAATTACATTTAAGAAAAGTGATTCATGCTAAACAAGCTATGATGCCAAAAAAGTTCTTCAGTGAAGATAATGATTTCTGCCATTTAGACTACCTAAAATTAGGACAGTGTGCAAGATGTTAATATTCAGGGTCATATATTCTTTATAAATTTAAAGCTGTAAAATACCTTAGATGGAATGTTGACCTATAGAATAAAGCAACCTAAGAAACATTTACTTGGCATTGATTCTGTAACCAAGTAATCTAAACAGGTAAGACAAAATACCCTCCCTCAAGGGCTTCCCATCCTACAGAGAAAGGTAGACAGCTAAGCCAATCAAGAAACCAATGGGGGGGGGAGTGGCTTTGGAATCACAGGAACAACAACAAAAAACATGGGAAGGAAACACTGATTGGAAAAGACACATGTACACTGTGTTTAGTGTGGTGTTATTCACAACAGCCAAAATATGGAAGCAACCTAAGTGTCCACTGATAGATGAATGGATCAAGCAAATGTGCTATACACATACAACAAATTTTCACTGAGCCATAGTAAAGAATGAAATCTTGCCATTCAAGACAATCAATGGTATTATGCTAAGAGATGTAAGTCAGGCAGAGACAATTACCATATGATCTCACTTATATTTTGGATCTAAAAACAAAACTTCAAACAAACAAACAAATAAACCAACAAGAGAACAGAAAACCAAGCTCAGAGATACAGAGAACAGGTTGGTGGTTGCCAGAGGCAGGGTTTGGTGGGTACAAAATTGGTGAAAGTGGTCAAACGGTACAAACTTCCAGTCATCCAATAAGTAAGCTGTGGGGATGTGGCGTACATCATGGAGACTGCAGTGAACAACACTGGTTCTTTTCTGAAAGTTGCTATGAAAGTAAATCTTGAAGTTCTCATCATCACACATAAATACTTTTATAATAACACCTGCTGTCAACTAGATTTACTGTGGTGATTTTGCAATGTATAGAACTATGAAATCATTATGTTGTACACCTGAAACAAACAATATATGTCAATTATACCTCAATTAAAAAATTAACATTAAAAAAACACATGGGGAAGAAAAAGAGAGGCTTCATATTTCTTGGTTAGCAGCTAGACTGGGGAAGCACTGATAAGAATAAGCTTTTCCAAAGCACAGAGCAGAGAGATTGTTCTACACTTTTTCTCCTCCACACTCCAACACCACCTCCACTTCCTTTACTCTCGTACACTCTGACCCAACCCACTGTCCCAGCCTCGTCCTTGGCCACTCTTACCAATTCGCCTTCTCCACTCAACTCTAACCCTCCCCCTGTCACTCTACCCACCTCGGTCCTTGAACACGCCATGCACGTTGCTGCCATCAGACCTTTGCCCATGAACTTGAACAGAAATGCCCTTCCCATCTCCATCTGCCTAGAAAACTCCTATTCATCCGTAAGGCCCCACCTGCCCCTCAGTCTAATAAAATGGCTCTCTCGTTTGTATTTCTTCAGCTCTTTATTCTGTCTGTTATATACTACTTAGAATGTGGCATCATTTTTAACTGTTCAGCAGTCTGTCTTTCTTACTAAACCAAATACTTACTAAGGGCACCTTTCAAATCTTACTTGACATAGAGCTGACCTAGAGGACCCCACACGTGTTTGTAAGAGCCTGATTAGTGTTCCTGGACCAGAAATTGCAGCAATAAAGGCATCAGGCAATATGGCTTCATTTAAAAGCATGGTTCTTTACTGAGACTGCACTCCAAACATTAACACTGAATATAATATCTGTGCACAAAGGGAGACTTTTGGAATCCCCTTTCATCCACCTGCAACTATCCTGCCTGAGCTACAGAAGCCCAGCCACACCAGCTTCCTGACAAAGGAGTCGACCCACCACTCATTGTCTGAGACTGCTTTTCAATAACAAACTTTCCTACTACCAAGTGTCATGCACTTTCTATGATGGGAAACGCCACGTGGCATGAGTTCACAACACACACTCGGGTCTGTTCAGAATTGGTGCCCTTTCTCATGAATGTTTATCTGTGAGGTCATTTGGTTGGTTAGTATCGTGATTCTTGGCCAGAACAATGGGATCTGTATGGCAGACGAATAAGGATTAGAAACAAGTAAATTGCTGGATTAAATGACCTCAAAGATCATTTCCAGATCTTCTCGTTGTCCATTCTGGATCACCTGCCTGAGGTCGTCGGCTCCTGTACATGGATAAACCTGGGCTCCAGCAGTGCGTCTACAGCATCATTAGGCAGGTCTTGGATGCATATTGCTTTGATTGTGCCATGTTTCACTGTTATAATATCAATCTCTAGTTCATGAGTTTAAGAAATTGGGGGAAATTAGGGGAAGAGAAAGGTAGGTAAAGCAGAGAAAAGAACTGAGAGAAATAAGAAACAAGTAAAAATCATAATTGCCCTAAATATTCAACATGTCAGTGAAATTTCAGGAATATGCTATTACCTTTATTATTTGTGATTATGAGGATTCTGAGATATATACATGAATATATTTTAATGACAAAGGGAGACAATGTCAATCAATTCTTATATTTTATAACCAAATAGCACTTGGCAGAAAAACCTATGGTATCATTTTAAAGTAAATGATACATGAAGTTAATAAATTAAAATGATAATTTTTACTGAAAAATTAAATCCAACCATGTACAAGTTAAGTTAGTTTTTCAGTTCACTATTAAAATACAGTGCTGATGTGTTCTGATGAGTGTCAGAATAGAAAAGTAGGCAAAGCATTTATGAATAAAGTGGTTGTAATTTGGTGGTGGGGGAAAAAGCCTATTTCCTTAAACTTAAAAATAGAGTGAAAGGAGAGAGGGTGGAGAACAGTTGAAAGTTTGTGTAGAACGACAGGTGGGAGTCCTTCTCTAACTTAATCTCTAACACCGTGCTTTGGCCTCTGGGCTCTGACCTGGCGCAGCAGGGAGCGATCAGGGAGCTGTGAGACCCAAGCCGCCACGGTGTCTGGGGCAGGCAGAGGTCAGAAGAGGGGAGACATGGCCCTGGTAGATGCTCCATTAGGGATCTAACTAGTGGGGAGATGGGACAGGGTCTGGGGAGGGGGAGGGGCTAAGGGGTCCCCTGAGCTTCTTAATTTCTCTCTCCCCAACTCTTTTCTGGCTCTTCTCCCTCACCTCTCTCAACCTTCTCTCTGATTTCCTTTTTCTTTTACGACCACTAATGACTCTCCGCTCGTTTTCCTTTGCCGGTTTCCTTTTCTTAAATTTCCATTTTCACTGTCCATTTCCCCACCCTGTACTGTCCCCCCTTTCCCTATTTCTCTCTATCTCTTTTCACAACTACAGTCCAGTATACTATTCTATCTTGAAAACATGGGTGGTAGGATCAGAAAGGCACCTCTTTGAATCTCGGCTTCCCATCAACTCTGTGCTCCTAGCAGACTGGCCTCAGTGAGTCCAGTTGCAGATCATATAAACAATAGCTGCTTACTCTTACAGAGTGGTTACCCTGGGTTAGGCGCTCATGGGGACCACTTACATGCATTAGTTGAATTCATCCTCACAACCATTTGTGAAGAAACAACTCTTATTATCTCCCTTTAACCAGAGCAAACTGGGACTTAGGAATGTTCACCTGGCCCAACATCATGTGGCCAGGAGGGAAGAGCACCAGGCGTTGCCACAGGGAGGCTATGGGGGAGCCAGACAGGGTCTGGCCTTGGGGCACTGGGCACACTTCCAAAAGAGCTGGTTCCCTCCCCTTCCTTGGTTACTCACACCTAATAATAGAAAATATATTGATTTTTTAAAAAAAACTTTACATAGAAGGTCCAGCAAATAATATTCCTTTGTTTAAAGAGCTATGATATTGATCCATTCATTTACTGATGGGCACCGAGGTTGCTTCCAACTCTTGGCTATTGTAAATTGTGCTGC